TATTTTGAAAAATTAATCTCAGCCGGTTTTCAGTTGATGCGTATTATCAATCATACCACTCTGCAAAACACTAAAATTTCACTGTTTAAAATAATACTTTAACAATGTTAGTATAATTATGTGAGTTTGCACAGTAGACTTTGATGTTTCACCAGAATATGCCAACAGTACCTCTGTATGACTGAATTCAGTTCCTCCACTTGTTGTTTCACCACCATACTGTGAGACAAATATACAGCATGTAAAGGAAAAATCTTGGTGAACAGATTAAAAAAAAGGATCAAATAAAAAGAAGAAATGAGAAACTTCAGGCATTTATGAAAGATGAGAAAAAATATTTACTTGGCATCATGAAGTTTTTTTCTCATCTCAGCGAAACTGTTTAAAAACATTTTAGAAAAGTTATTCACAATACACACAACAATTTTGAAGAATTCATTTCAGAGTTTTAATGTTTACTGAGCTTTTCTAAAATGTAAATTCTTATGACTCATATAGCAGCATAGAGTATAATTCATGCAGTCTATCCTGTGTCCAGCTGTGAAAACTATGTAAATGAAGCAATTTAAAACATTTTTGATCAGAAACATCAAATGATATTAAAAAAAGAGCGATTCCTTACCTTAGCTCCTGTGGAGCTGCTGCTTGATTACAATCTCTAATTTCAAGGTAAAGAGGAAACACTGATATCACAGATATTTATATCCAGAGAGGAAAAATACAAAACCTTATCTGCGCACTTCATACTCTGTCATATCATTTCAAACTAAGGAAAACTGTTAAACAAAACTTCAAATTGCATTTAGGCATTTTCACGTTTAAATAGTTTTAAATAGTGTAACCTTTAAATCTGCCAGTTTATACAGATGACAAAGGTTGATATAAAGTATTTACCTGCTGTTCTTTTCTTTACTCATCGTGGTGTCTCCTGTCTTGTTTAGTGAAAGTCTGACACAAGTACGACTGTTACACTGAACTCCACAGACCAGGGGGTGGAGTTCAGTGAGGTCCGCCCCCCTAGTTTGTCCATAAATACTCTGTAACTGCTGCTCTTCAACACTGTTTCCACAATGGATAACTCATACATCATAGCGATAGACTTTGGCACTGCGTACAGTGGATATGCTTTCAGTCTGACAAAAAGAGAAGCAGAAATTGATCCTCGTTTAAAGTCCTGGGGTAAAAAGACTTCACTGAGGACCCCAAAGACTCCGACCTGCATCCTTTTTGATGAACATGAAAAATTTCTCAGCTTTGGTTATGAAGCCCAGTCAGCTTATTTTAGAACACGGGGTGATGAAGCCAGAAATAAATTCTTCTTTGAATGCTTCAAGATGTCCCTCTATGACAAAGTAAGTGTAACGATCTGATTATATCAATATTCTGATATCTCTCTTTCTCTCTCT